CCCCCCTTCGGTACGGCCCTGAACGTCTGCGACAGTCGACGACACCTCTCCGATACAGCATATACATTATATACAGTATATACATAGTATCATTGATCAGTGGAGTACGCAGGGGGGAGGGTTAAGGGGTTGTAACACCCCCCGAAATTTTCCCCGATGTCTAGGTTAAAATTTACAAATTTTATAAGTTTGAAATATGAAGAGTATTGAATACCTAGTGTCATTGATTATAGAATAGTCTATTCTATTATCAATGCTATTATTTAAGTCAAAATATATATTAAGGATTTGCATAATTTTGTTAATTGTAAAATGTATTATATTTTTACCTTCACCCCCCCTCCCCCGAAAAAAAAAATCCTGTGTGCATCACTGTCATTGATCTTTGATCATATTATAGGTATTAGATGATTTTAGCACTAAGTAAGATTACTATTCAGTCAGAAAAACTTAACAAAATAATAAAAATAAATAAATGTTCACACATATTTTATACTAAATAGTGTAAAATTAAACTAAATTTAATTTCGCGTTGGTAAACTTTTATTCATATCTTTTATATTATACATATTAAATTTTACATATTAAATGTATAAATTGGTGTGATGAAAATAAATAAAGTGCAAAAAGTCATAAGCATCTTAATCCTAATCATTATACTATTAAATAATAATTTATTATAACGAGAGAAGTTTATTTAGTGTTAACAATAAATTATAAAGCAATTAAAAATAATAATTAATAGGTACGATAAGCAAAATATAATATTTACACGAAAACTAATTGGTTATTATTTCTTCTCAATTCGGCCACATTTCTGGTGGATATGTTGTTTTAAGGCAATATAGTTTTTTTAAACTTAATACGTAATTCGTGAATTTTTGTAATCGTTTTTTATCTAATGTGCGGCGTATAATCTATAGAATTATCAGTAAGACAGTTTTCTGAATTTACTAATACATCCATTATTTACACTGAACGCGATATTATAATCGTTGACAGTTAAAACGTATCAAACGGATTTGTGGAAAAAGATAAAATTCGCTGACCTTTGACCATAACTAGATTCTAGACATTGTCAATTAATACATAATGTATAAAATATGAAAATTAATTAAATACGAAGTTATTTTAATTTTATATATGTAACAATTCCATTATAATATATGAACGAGTAGTAAGTTTCGATTTTATGAATAAAGCTTTTTTGCAACAGACTTATGTCATTTATATCTATACTTATATACAGAGTGTTCATAAAGTGTAAGAGTATACAATATGTAACGTTTAGTGATTATTGTGTTTTTCAGTAGGTATGGATTAATTATATACAATATTTATAAGACTGAGCAGTAATTTCGTTCAATACTTATGTTAGATACCATATACCAAGTACCGTGTACTTTATATTGCGATACAATTCTGGATAGTAACGTACATTTTGTATAGCGATACTATTAATCAAGTATTTTAAAAAAAGAGTTTATATTATACAGAAACTTAATAAATAACACAATATCGGTCTTATTATTTAAAATAAATGTATGTTATTGGGCCGTAACACATTTGGGTACAGTAGACCCTAAACGCAACACGTTTGGGTATAAATGAATACACCATTTGGGTACACCATATCTCTAAAAAAATAACACGTTTAGGTACATAGAACATAGATATTAATATAACATTTAGAAACACCCAGGGATAGACTGGCCTGACGGGACACCGGGACAAATCCCGGTGGCCCGTTACAATAATAGATTAAATGGCCTGATATTTTAGAAATTAAAAATATAGTATGACGATATTTTAATCGACAGAATCGGGGAAACATGTGAAGTTTTGAAAAAAAAACCTAATTATGTAAAAAAGGAATTACTTTAAGAGTTAATTTTAATATATAGGTATTATATTAAAATGTGTACACTGTATCTATAAAAAAAATATCTTATATATGTATAATATTTACATAAAATGTTAAAAATATTTTTTAAATAATAAAGGTTTTTTTATCATTATTATTTTTTTATGCATACTTATGACCAAATCGTTGGTCCCTTGTTAATTTTTGGCCTGGCGAAAAAAAATTGCGGGCCTGAAATATTAACCTAGCCACCCCTGGAAACACCTAGAAAAATAAAACTTTAATACTTAATCATTAATTTTAAATTTTTAGAGCCTATTAGCGTTATCCAGGAGACACCACTTGGAGGTTTGCTCTATTTAGTCTCCCAAAAATATTTTAGTTATTAATTATTATTTATTATATTTTATACTATTATACCATTATTATCAAATCTTTATATAAAATGTTTTTACCGGTAAATATCGGACCAATTAGGGATAAATGTTTTTCAGCATCTTTATCGACTTTATACTCCTCAAATTTGTTTAATACATTTGTAATATTATCCTAATCTCTTTTCTTTTTTTGTTTTGCACATTTTGTTTAATGCTATCTATTTTTAAGTACGATTCTTCTTGAACTTCAAATAAAATATTTATTACTTCAAAACAATTAGGATGGCAAGTTATAAGTCTTTTTTGTTTTTAATTTTACTTTTTAACTCTTTAAATTGTAATTATAAAATTCAGGTTATAAACAGATAATATTATTAGTAGTACTCTTTATTTGTAATAATTTTCAGCACACAGGAAGTAATACAAAAAAAATATAATGAAATATAACTTTTGACAATTTTCAATAAAAAAAAAAAAAAAAACTTGACGACACATGACGGACTCATTTGAATTATTTGCACCGCCACTATGTTTATCGATGTAAATTTAATTTCTATGAATGAATATAATAATATGTATAACAATAAATTTTAATTAAAAATCGTGTAAGCACTAACGTGTATTGGGTATATTATATATTATGTTTCTCTTTTCTCTATAATGATTATCCCTATGGCCTTAGGTATTGTACATTATTATAAATTATTGTTTATAACTTATAATAACTTCATACCATACAGTGTGTACTTATTCATAAATCGTTTCATATATATACACATGCAGTGGCGCAACCGGGGGGAGAGGGTTGTGACCTCTTTCCGAAATATGTAGTTAACTTAACTTTACTCCATTCTTCCACGAAACACCTCTCGAAATTCATTTTTTTCAAATATATATATATGTATAGACATGGTATATACTCTTGGAAACCAGGGGTGTGTTTTGGTGCTTTGATGTCTTATGCAATAATTTAAGATCATTATTTTTCCATTTTTAATTGTTCTAATGTCTTGACAGTAATTAAAAATATTAAAAATATTAAATAATTAAAAGCCTTTTAAAACGCTATTTATTTTGCATGTATGTCTTAAGATATTTTTCTTAATACATTGAGATGAAAAATATTGAGTAATTGTACACTCGTTGGACTAGTCCATTTACAAAAATTGTATCTTTACTATGAATTTATAAGACCCAACCATATTATGCATGAAATACGACTAAGTTGTGTATACTGTAATACCGTACTTTACGAGCACAACAAACGATTACAATTCATCTTGTATTTTTATTTTATAAATTTAAGCACTTAACGTTCGTATGGCGGAAAAGCGGGAAAACAGGCTGGATTACGTTGCATTTTGTTCAATCCGTTTACAATATATTTATCTAGATTCTAGATGAACGTATGTCGATAGATTTTCTTTTTACTTTTACTATTCTGCACCCTGTATATGTAACCGTGCAGATTCGTTGGAATAATTTATGCAGAGATTGGCACGGTATACTAATACAATGTATTACGACTATTACGCAAAGTGATACTACGTAGAATATGTTAATATTACTAACTCGCTGTAGCCCGTCATTCGCAAATACCTAGTATAGTTATTGTTATCAAACGTTGGTTCTATACGGCAGCAGTCATTTCAGCCGAATTCTTAATAAATAAATTAAAAAAATGTCTGCCGTCTCGTATGGTTTATTATTTAATGACCGTTGCGATTATTTTCGCTCTATGTTTATTGACATGGTGATCGGATTTAGTAATACGGTGAAAACAATGTTTTATTATTTATAATAATAAATTTTACTCTCCCGGTGTCTCGGAAGGAGAACCAACATCGTTTGATTTTGTTGCCGGTTGCTGGCTGTCAAATAAAATAATTCGTTGCGCTCTCACCAAAAATTACAAAAGTTTTAGTTTCTGCTTAACATAGGTTGGGTACATGCTCTTTCAAGTTTGATTTATTTCCCTATGAGCTAGCTTAGCATTGGATTCTTTTGAAATTTAAAAATTAAATGTTTTAAGGTGTTAACTCAAACGAGAATTATTTGTGGACGCTAATTGATACATAGTTTTGACATAACTATCGCATCAAACGTGAAAGGCCCTACGAGTCTATAAATTAAAGTGAATTTCAATTTGCTGTTTAAGATTGAATCAATTTCAAAATCTAAACATTCACTTAACAAATCGATTTCGATTTAGTTTGTACTATAGGTGAGATACAAAGTAAAAATACAGGTCTGAATATTACATTCTTAAGTGATAAAATAAACAATAGTAATAAATCACGGTTTTCCCTTCATGGTATTTTTCTGAAATTTTGAGATGCAACAAAATGTAACACCGTGCATATTATTCCTATATATTTTTATAGGAAATTCATAAGCTCTAAGCAGTGTGGAACGGTGTATAGGGGAGGAGTGCGTGAATACGAAGTAGGTTGGCCATCTGACCCGTGTGTTTTTATTTTATTATATGTTGCACTTTAGATGTATTCTATAAACAGTACGCCGGTATGGCTTTTTATTATATATATTTTGAACAATTTTCGTGCTATATATAATATTTTATACCTGGAAAGTCGGCGAAAAACAACAGGTTTTCGTTGGTTTTGCGCTTCGTGTCCACAATCCAAGGTCGCCATCGGTCTAGATGTTGCATTAACGGCATAAGCCACGGCGCGGGCGACCAGGGCGACCAATGGGCGTGCAACAGGTCTGCTTTCGGGTCGACTAGGCGTTGGTGGAAACGGCCGTTGAGCGACCCCCATACGTCCATCCGGACCGACATGTTAGCGCTTCGGTCGGGCATGTTAGTGGCCACGCACTCGGCGAACTGTGGCAACATGTCGCCGTGTAGCGCCCACTTGACGTTGTCCGTCCAACTCTGCGGCCACAAATAACGGTAAGCACAAGACGACTAAAAACACGTTTGCAACACCGTAAAGTGTCGAGTAAAAGGTGCGTGAGATCTAGAATTTTTAACCCGTAGGGAAATCGATGAGTACCGGGGCCATTTGAAATTGGTTCGCGCCAGGTAGATCGAGATGGAAAGAGGATTTTTTTTCTTGTTGAAATTTTAGTTCGATAGTTAAGTGTTAGCATTTATCGAAAAAACCGTTCAGTTTTGTCAACCGAAAAATACTCCTTAAATTATAACATAGCATGGCCACACATGGCATAGAGTAATTAATTAATATAGCTACACAACAGCCCCGTGATGAAGATTATCGAACTAGATATTTTCATTTGAAATGTTCATTGATTAAATATTGTCACACATTGAAAATTGAGTTATCAAATATTAAATTAGTAATATTCAGTCTCAAATAACTGTCAGTATTTGCTCAGTACAATATGGACGTCCGTGAAGTAAGCCTAACCAAGTTGAAGAATTCTCTCAAAATTAGCAAAACCCATATTTTGCAAAACTATAATAATAATTTTAATTAATTTCAAAATATTGGTGTTGGTTTCGTGTAAGTCGATTAAATTTTTGGGGCTACCTTTATACGAACGTACATTGATATGTTTGGTATTTATAACACCATTTTATATATGTAGATTAGTATCTTGATAAACCTATAAACGTTAGGAATGTTAGGAAAGTAGGCATGATCAAAACCCGTTGGCGGCTAAAAATATAAAATTGAGCGATCAGAGATTTCTTGTACTTTTTATAGCACTTTTGAGCAGTACCATATTATTATCGAATATCAGTACTGGGAATCCAGTACAAAATAGTCAGAATCCTACATATATACTAGTACAGACATCAATACTGGCTGCTAGTAACGTGCCAGGAGCAGACAATGGCGTAGTACTACGTCCATTACGAATTTTCAGTGGGAAAACTTGATGGGGAACGGTACAGAATTTCGTTTACCGAATAATATTCTACTCGTATAAATTATTTTATGCGTAATATTTGTAGTTAGTATATGGGTATTAAGTTATAATAACCATGAATAAAATGAGTTACCCAACAATATTAATTTGTTTTTCTGATATCCAAACATATTAAATTTGAATATTTTTATCTTTTGAACGTATGATCGGTAGGGCTAACCTGTACTCGTATTAGATTATAATATATTTTATGCCACTTTATAAAACCCGTTCCTAACTAAAAAATAGTCAATGTCGTTTGGTCGTATTTTATATAAGATAATTAGCCTCATTCGGGGAAGAAATAATATTACAAAATTATATTATTAAGAATTAAAATAAAAAATAGCAATTTGTTTAAATATATGCAAGTGAATTGTTGTAAGAACAAAATATATAAAACACGAGTTCACTATTAAAGGGTAATTAGATATTTCTAGAAACCATTGTAATATAATATTTGCGTAATACATTAATATGTTCTTTATACGCGGTTAATGTATATGCGATTATAAATCTAAATAAATATTTTAGTGCCATTCAATTATGGTTTAGATTTAAACAAAAGTGAATTACAAATTTTAGTTTTATAAACACGATATGAATACAATACATTAAACTATGAAAATATGTAAGTATATATTTCTACTCATCGGATCAAATTATGATTGAATAAGCCTGAAGTATAAAGTATTGTAGCTCTTTAGTTTTATCCAATTCGGGTATATGTTTCTCGATTGTTGAGTATCTTTAGCATACTCGAAAATACTATGAATTATGATTTAAAAAGTATTCAAAATACAAAACATTTATTTTATGATTGAATTTGAAATTATTTTGCTATTACTTAAAACTGTTACATCATTTATCAACTCTATCGTTGGATTCAATTTTGTAATAAATAAGTTAAAATAGGAATTATTATTATAATTTCGACATTTTCAAATACACACGTCAAAAAAAAAAAAAAAAACTAAAAAAACTATAAAAAAAATTTCAGTTTGTTGCCTTGAACTTCGAAGAATCATCACACGATTATAATACTTTCATTAGTCATACATATTATAATAATTAAATCATTGTAAGATAATAAGTATGCAGTATATTACGTGTGGGTCCAAGAAGAAATATTCTCGGCGGGCGTGATCCACCACCTTCACTTGGATCTTGGCCACGTCTATGTTATACACCATCATGTCCCAAGAGTATCCGTACAAGCCGTTTCGCCATCCATTGTAACCCTGAATGCAATATTCAATGCATTACGGTTATATTGTCACTCCCTGACCACGTTACATTGTATATTTAGGGGATTTATCAACATAAACTATTCTTTTTTTTGTCCGTTCAACGGGCCGCGGCACATCGTTGTATTCTAGACGTATTATTTGTTTGCAGACATACTAATTGATTCAGTGGTGTGATAGGAATTTTTGAAGATCCGATTTCAAATTGGTCAAAAGTTATACTCGAGATAGTCTTTCTCATATTTTCAATTTTTCTCAAGCTCCATAAAACTGAGCGCGATAATTTTGGATTGTTTTCCTTCGAATAGTTGTAACGATTTGAATGGTTAAAAATGAAGTGACGAATATAAAAAATTATGTTGTTGTTACATAAATATAACACGCATGCGTCAAACCTGCGTTATGAAATGCGAGTACGGCAAGAACAGCTGAAGAATCGTGTACGCGCACAAGCACGCAGTTATTGCATTCTGTTTGGTGCGCGTCGGTAGTTTGTAGACAGCGAGCATTGGCTTTTGGCTGTCATTTCGGCCAATCCCGGCGAAATCTCGCAACACTTTCGACGTAACCGAGGGATTGAAAAACACTGGTAACATTGCCGCGCAAACATACGGGAACATACCTGCGCAAACGTGTATATGTGTACGTGATACACGCATAATAATCGTGTTATCGTGTGTGATTTTTCTTTTTTTTTTTTATACTCGCCTATGGTAAACATCATGGCGTTCATGGAATGGAAAGCGAGCAAAACCACGGTGGTGAGCGGTCGAGTGAACCGGAAACATAGTCCGAATCCCGAAAACAGGTCGATGACAAACCCTCCGACGTGCACTATCCAGTGGTCAACGAATTCGGCCGAGAAGACGTATCTGTTTGGATTTAGTGCTGATAGTTATGATTTAATAAGTATCTTAGTCGCATCGAGTTGAACCCGAATACACTTTGTACGTATCATATTAAACACTTAGTACAGAACTATACGCACCTAAACGGTGTGAAAACGTGATGGCGACCCAAAGACATCACCGAGTAACCCCGCAACCAGTCGGGTTCAAATTTTTTCAAGCCGGCCACGAAGTACATGATAAAAAACTGTATTCTTAGCAATAGATAGTTCCAGCGGGGCACCAACGACGACTCTTCCGACGCGATCTTTCGTCGCTGCCAACTGTCCGCGGACCTGTTTTATATTGAAGTGAGTCAAACCTATGTGGTAAATCTATGAATAATTCGATAAAGAGATACGGATGTGTGTTTATTAACCCAAACATTTATCCTTGGAAGGTACAAAATAATGACAGTATACTGTGTTACTCGCCAATTTCGATGAGCATCCGTCACGGAGAATATAACAATCAATAAGCCGAATAGATACGAATGATTATTCCACGAGGTTTTATCCGCCAAGAATATATACCAATAAGAAATTGCATACATGGCACAACTTGTCCGGTACTGGAAACCAGTGAGCATACCAAGTACACCTATAATATATTGTACCTGAGTTACTAACAGTGTAATGATACAATCAATAGTTCGATAGGAAAATTATATTATTTTTAGGTTATACGGCATGATTGGAATAATATTTTAAATTTAAATTGATCTGCTAATGATTTAAACTTAAAATTATTACCATCATCATGATTAATCACACATGATGCGTATAATCTATTTTTAAAATAGCAAAAAAAAACAACTTCTCTTTACAATAATTCTTCCATCTGTACTTGTGGGTTATATACAGGGTTGCAAAAAAAAATTGTTTTTTTTTTAAAAACTTAAAATACTTTTATTTATTTAAAACAATGCTTTTTTATGTTTTAAACAGTTTTTAATTGTTGTTTTAATTGTTGTAATTGTCGTCAGTTTTAAACACTGTTTAAAACTAAGCTTTTTTTTAAATATTTTTCCTTAATGAGATAATTACTCTCAGATTTTTAGTCAGAGTGTGAACAGGCAGAGGCGTATTTAGGGGGGGGGGGGGGGTGATATGGGTGTTAGAACACCCTCCCATCGACCATATTCTATGGTATTTCATCAAATTGCAAACTTACAGTATAATTTGAATAAACGTTGTATACAATTTGTCGATTTTACATACACTATCTTAATATAATCATTTTCATTAGTATAATAATAATCCTGGATACGCCACTGTGAACAGGTGAAAGGTATTGTTTTTATTACTAATATTAATTATAATTAATTATTATTAATATTCAATCACTATACAACAGATTAGATTATAAACAGTTTTGTATAAAAAGTACTAATTCAGGCATTTCCATATTAAATTTGATTAATTTAGCTCCAGCTCCAGGTATCTATTTGGTAAGGGGCCCTGGTCTTATAATTTTTGAGAGGGCCTACCGGAATTTTCCCAGTATTCCGGTAGACCAGTACGCGCCTGTATGAGCTCAATTTTTATGGTATCGATATCACGAAAACTGTTTTATAAAGATTACATTTATAGAAATATATAATATACAAAAATAAAATTTATAAGGTTCGCTTAATAACGATTGTCATAAACTGGAGAGGAACCAGTGTTTCCCAACTTTTAATAAAACGTGAACGTGTATTTAATAGAGAATATTATCTGATTTCTGAGTACAAAATAGTAAATAAAATTTTACTATTTACTGATTTTATCATTTGATCATCGGACAAAGAATTGCCGACTTTTTAAAATTTCTTAGAGTGGGGCATTTGCCATAGTCTGCTCACCTCCCCCCAAATGACGCACCTGTTTGATTTACAAGAAATAATTCTAAACAGGATCTTTCTTTCTACTTGTTGAAGCCATTATGATACGATAGTCAATTAACAACTAATAACTAAACCCGGGTATTGAATAGTTGATTAGAAAACGGAAAATTTAAAAATATTCGTATCTCCCTTATACTGAGTATAAGGTCTATGGTATCTTCAACATTTTTCTGAAAATTTGACCAACTGTTAGTATGTTATATATTTTTGAAATTTTTGACAATATGAAATAATTGTCTTTGAAAACTCAATAAAAAAACAGATTTTAAACGTTATGTTATACGAGTAAATAATTATGTATTAAATGTTTAAAACAGAAGGTTATATTTAAAACGTTTAAAACACATGATTAAAACAAATTATTTTAAACACTTTGCAACCCTGGTTATATATTAGGCGATATTATGTAATATTAGGTATATTGTATACAATATACTATACCCGAGAACATGAACGCATATGCTAGACACATCCACCGGCCTGGTAATGGTTTGATAAAATCAAACAGTGGAAAATAGCATTTTGTGGGTTCCATCCATCGTTTATCGGCCCGACAAAATCCTCGTTCATCCATTGTGTCAATCATCATCAGCAAGCCTATATTACACAATTAGAAACCTACATTAAAATATATTTATTGATCTATTGATCTGGCTAGTTTTTTATATCATATGTAAATTTATTATTTCCAGATTCGTTGACGAGTCCACCTTGATTTTCCATTTATCCAGTAAATAATTACCCCAACCATTGTTGGTGCGTACAAGAGTGTATAGGTCCATAGAGAAAAAGGGATTTTTCTTGTGGGCCATCGTCCTATATTATGTCGGTGGCCCACTCGATACCATAAATTTTTTCATGGAAATTTATTATTTTTTTTTATATTTAAATTATTTATATTAAATTAGGATGAGTAAATACAATACATTTTTATAAACAAATTTTTTTTTCATTTTGGTGGCCTTATTAAAATATTTCCTTGTAACAAAAAAAAGGCTGTATACTAATTGCGTCCCAAAGATATCAACGAAAAAAGGTCCAATCCGAATTGCGGCCCGAGTTAATTTTGGGTACAGACGAGTTGCGGCCCGGGTTTTCTAACTATAGATAATTTAATCTTGACTGATAAAATATAATCACAATATAATGTAGATATCAATAAGTATACCTTAGTCTCCGCTTTACTACCGCTAAGAACGTTCCGTCGCTTTTCTGTGCTGTTCTATTTTAATTTATTTATAATGTGGAATTTTGAGATTTTGAGTGAAATGTTAAGTGAAAAAAATCGTAGTATATATGTAATCGATGGATATAAATTTCGTTTCCATAAAAATTTAAAAAATTATATTGATCGATATAGCTGTACTAAAATGACTTGTAAAGCATATATTCATTTAAATAATAACGTAATAATAAAAAAAAGTTTTAAATCATGAAAACCACAAGAAAGATAGTGTTGAAACATTAAATAGGCAGACTGTAAGTAATCAAGTGAAATGTAAAGCTGTTGATGATATTAATGAGAAGCCAAGTAAAATTATTCATAGCCACTTTACACAAGACGTAAACACTTCGACAACATATGATTTAACATTAATAAGAAAAAATATTCACCATGCTCGATCATCTATTATGCCAAAGTTACCTGTGGACTTGATTGAATTACACATCTCTCTAAATAATATGAGTCATTTATTTGTTACAAATCGTAACGAAAATTTTTTACTTGTAAATGACAACACGTCAAACATTTTATTATTTTCTACCGAAACTAACTTAAAATTTTTGAGTTAATTTGATACAATTTTTGTAGATGGGACCTTTAAAAGTTGTCCGAAATTATTTACCTAAATGTTTACAGTTCATGGTTTACAAAATGGTAATTATTTACCACTCTTATTTTTTATACTTCCCAATAAAGAAATTAAAACATATAAAAAGGCTTTTATGCAATGTAGCAAACTCAACATAAAATTTTTACCAAAAACAGTTTTTGCTGATTTTGAAAAGGCGATTCATTTAGCTCTATTAAAAGTTTGGCCTTCTATTAGTTTAAAAGGATGCTGATTTTACTTAGTCCAAAGCTGGTGACGAAAATTACAGACAATTGGCTTAAGTAGTGAGCATAAAAAAAATACCGAAATCGGTAAATTTTTAAAATACTTTTTTGGTTTACTGTTTTTAAATTCGAACGATGAGTGACTGTTTTACAAATTACATAATGGCTATTCAACCAAGAAATGAAAAAGTAGAAATATTTGTTGATTATATATTGGAAACATACATTTCAAACGAGTCCAATTTCCCTCCTTTTTTATGGACAGAATGCTCGGCGTCTATTATGCGCACTACTAATAGTTGTGAGGCTTTTCATTCGAAATTCAACGCTTTGTTTTACAGTACTTATCCTAATATTTTTGTATTCATCGATGTTCTGAAAAATGTACAGAAGGATACCTATATAAAATTAAGAAGCACTCACTTAAATACTCGCAGAACAAATATAATTGAAAAAGAAACATTTATTAGAAATACTATGAAACGGTTAGAAGAAAACCAAATTGACAAATTTGAATTTATACAAATACTATCATACAAGTATTTACCAGTGCCATAATACATTAGAATTTTACTAAATTATACTAACATTTTTAACTTCAATAAATATCATAAACTTTTTACCAGTGCCGAAATTTTTTAATAAAAAAAAAAAACATTTTAATATCAGATTTTAATGTCAAAAAAATTTTTTACCTTTAGAAATATCATATATGTTTTTACCAGTGCCATAATACCTTAGAATTTTACTAAATTATACTAACATTTTTAACTTCAATAAATATCATAAACTTTTTACCAGTGCCGAAATTTTTTAATAAAAAAAAAAACATTTTAATGTCAAAAAAACTTTTTAACCTTTAGAAATATCATATATGTTTTTACCAGTGTCAAAATGTTTAAATAAAAACAAAACATCATTTTTAACCTACCTGCAGTATCTACTGATGCTACAGACAGTCCTAAGTCTGTATAAAAATGTGAAGGAAAATGAAGCTTTTTAAATTTAAATTTATATATTTAAATTAATTTAATTTTAAATATTGGGCCGCAATTCGTATGTAACCCAAAAAAACTCGGGCCGCAATTCGTATGCATCCCAAAAAAACTCGGGCCGCAATTCGGGAGAAATTTTTACCGCGGGACGCAATTAGTAGCCACAGTCGATTGTAGCAGTCGATTGTCTCTCCCAGGGAAGACGGTACCTACGAAGAGTCGTTAAACACGTTGATGGATTTTTTTTTAAAAACCATGTTCGCGCACAGGCGTTGATCACGATAATTTATGTAATGTGCGCATACTCTCTTTAACATTTATTCGGTACCTCAGGGGCAACGACGTAGAATTATTTTTCACCATCTTTATCAATGTATTTCCACATTATGTCCGGGAACACTCACTGAAAGCCATGCGCAGCGCGGCCAGACACTCGCCGTCTTCGGGCTGGAACAGGTACGCGACCAACCGATGCCACGCGGTCGCCAACCGGTGCGGATGCGCTGCATCTCTCCTGGACCGCGTTTTCGCCTCGACAACCATTTCCGCATCCGCGTCCTCGTCCATGACTCGAACGCGCACGAATGAACGTTGAACAGTAGAGTGTAATACGCTCGTAAATAGCACTGGCGCGAGCGGCGGACGAAATTCAATTTTACACGTCGTTACGTCCGCACAAGTGATTGACGTAAAGATTGGTCGATCGAGACACGGCCGTGACGTGCTGGACCCAAAACCATTACGTCGTAATTGTTATTTGTTATTTAATTAAAAGCCATCGCCGTGAACCGTCGTCGCCGTGGGCCAACCACCCGCGAACCCCCCTCCCCCCAAGACTGATGGCGCAATATCCATACAACCGCGTCCGAGGTGTGCACGTCGTTCTCGGTTTAATCCGACGGCGAGACGGGACGTCGAATTGATAAAACCTAGTTGTTAAAATAAAACTATAACAATTATCTTAAACGTATACGTTTTAACATTCTTCAAAATATATACCAGTACATCATAGTCGATGTGAATGTCAAGTCAACACAATTTTTTTTGCAATTTTTTCTTTTTGCAAGAATAAATAGGACATTTGCACCGGGCCCACCGACAAAAAAAAACAAGTACAATTAGTTGTTTAATTTTTAATCATAATTTAGGAACAACTAAATCATAGATGATTAACAATGACGAGATAAATAAATTTGTAAGAAACATTATATTTTGTTATATTTTATTATATTGTAGTATAACAGCTTGATCTGTACTCAATAAATTTTAATCATACAATATAAATCGTTACAATGTATAATTCAATAAAAATTATTAACATTTCCATTGTTCAACGCTAAACGTAATACATATCCTTAATATATTTCGTAAATATATTACGTACAATATGTTTGAGAACATGTTGATAATTATGAAAGTGAATCTATGGCACTTTTAAATAAGATTATTTATTAAAATTAAAAGTTCAAGAAAAACAGATTCCAAAAAGTAATAATTTAGATACTGATTTAGAATAAATACAATGGGATTCAAAATCGCAGTTTATTAGTATGGTTAGATTAGTTTAGGTTAGTTAATTTTATAATTTGTGATAGAAATATCATCTGAGTTCAGTAATTTCAAAGTGGTATACATTAAAGTAGAGAAAAAATATGGAGTTTTCTTTAAAGAAAATCCAGATAGAAATGAAAATTATCTATGAAATTAAATCTATATATTTTTTGACGAAGCTTGCTACAAATTGTTTTGGTGAAAGGTTATTTTCAAAGAACAGATAATAGATTACAATCTACATAGGACTAAAATAATTTAGACTCTAGGAATATTATCAATGGAAAGTGGTGACACAATAAACCTGAATTTTAATGATATTATTGACAATTTTTTTTTAGAAAAAATCGTAAAAATGTTTGTGAATACTTGAAAAAAATTTGTCTTGGAAATATTTATTTTTATAAAAATATTAAGATTGATAATACTAATGGTTTTTTTTAACGTTTGCATTTTAATTTGTAAACTTTATTATGAATATTAGTTAACACGCTGAAAATGTATTATAAAAGTTATATTTTGTATTTTTTAATAATTAAATTTTAACAACACAATTGAATTCTATAATTCAACACTAATAAGCCATAAATAATAAAAAACATTTAAAAATATTTTATTAATTGCTACATTTTATTTTAGAATTGAAGGACAAAGAGATAGATGATTTAGAAATAAAAATTTTAAATTATACTGGGCTTATGAATTAATCAGGATATGAAATTGGGGCTTAAATCACTGTATAAATCATAATAATTATCATATACAGATGTTCGCCCACATAGTGCTTTACATACTTACGTTATATATCGTAATAAAACTGATGGGAAACATCACTTCTAATTGTATGACTTGGCCATCAATGCCATTCATCGCTTTCGTTTTAAACTTTGTTCTAATAATACAAATATACAATTGAGGATTTTAAGTATTAGATATTTTATGTGTAACAGTGGCACCCACACATTATATTTAAGTGTAGCTTAAGCTCCACTAATCTTTAGGGTTGGTGAGAACATGGGGTCTAATGATCTTGAACATTAATCACCGAACTTGAATAATATAATAATAAATAGTAAAATTAAAATTAAAAATATTTAAATGCTTAAAACTTATAAATTAATATATAGAAAAATAAACAAATAGTTTATATATAAAAATAAATAAATAAATAAAACCTATATTAGTCATATTATTTATATTATTTATAGTAGTCATGATTTTATTTTTTCATGGTCAGTCGTTATTTTATAGACTTTGTGTATACCGGACGATGAATTTTTAATTCAAAACCAGTTGTACTTTAAAAACATAATAATGTTCTAAACAATGCTTTTATTTCTTTATTCTTTTATTTCTGTATTTCTTGTACACTATTTGTTTATTTACTAATATATATCTACTAATTTACGAGTATTAGCCATTTAATAATTTTTAATTTAAATTAATTTTTTTATTATTTTATTATTTATTATGGTAGGCCAATTCAATATTCAAATTCAGTCAATGAACAGGATTGAATATTTTAACAAGAAATTAATGAATGCCGATTTAATTATCTATTTGAATCGCGATTTCATTTTTTTCATATTCAGTTAAGATTTTATTGACTTAACACGTACTTGACGATGAGTTTTTAAATCAAACCGGTCATACTTTACAAATATAATAATATTTCAGGTTAAACTTTAATTTATTTATTTCTCTATTTAAAATAAATGTTTATTTATTTACTCATCCATTTAATTTGACTGTATGGCATATGATTACAAAAAATCAATGGGTAATAATTTAATAAATTTAATATGTACCTGATTGATGATTAGTGGTGGTAAAAGTGGTGGGGTGGTGTATGAGAAAATATTTAAGCCTTACTAATTCAAAAATCTATAGGTGCCACTGTTTGTATTCATATTCAACATTTAATATTATAAATGAAATGTGTATAATTTTATTTTAATAACTATTAATGGGTTTATGGTAAATATAATAAAATAGGAATAATTATCATACGGTTAATAAGTTATAATAAGGCGTAGGTAAATTGAGTCCCAGACGAATTTATCTTTTTTCAAAATAAGTAAACTGAGTCCCATGTATGAAATTTAAAGAGGTAAATTGAGTCCCTCGTATAACAGTCAAAGCGGCAAATTAAGTCCTGTCTAAAATATTTAATATAATAATTAATTTTAAATTTATTTAAATTATAAATATAATCGTTGATATGGTTATAAATTCACCGAGTACGATAGGTAAGTGTTATTATGTGACATTTTTATAAGTACCTAACTATCTACAACAACGCTGGATTTAATATGTGATAACTGATAAATGTAAGTTTAATGTACGTAGTATACAATTTTGTTGATATAATTAAAAGTGTTTTAAATAAAAAAAAAACTGCATTTCACCATATTTTAAATTACCGCTTTAATTTTTATACAAGAGATTCAATTTACCGATTTTATTTTTATATGTGGGACTCAACTTACCTTTTTTTTTTTTTTAGATAGGATTCAGTTTACCTAAAATTAATAAAATGGGATTCAATTTACCAAACCCGTTATAATAATAACATACGTAACATGAAACATATATATCATAATAATTTGTATATTTAAATTTAGATAATACAAACGAAAAAATTTAATAATCATTTTATTTATAATTTATATATATGTAATAACAATAATAGAATCTGAATTAAGGTCGAAGACTATTGATTTTATAACAAATTTAGTAATACATTAAAAAAGTATAATGTACGAGTATTTTATGACGTAACACTATATTGCAAATAAATTTGTACATATTTTTACATTATAGCACCAACAAAGATTATGTTGGCAAGAAAAAAAAAACTCTCACAAACTGTTCAAAATAACAATTTAACGAATTGGATAAACTGCCAAGTGCTGTAACATTTTGTTATGCATTTTTTTTCGTCTAACAAATGATCGAAATCTATTTTGATTTACTTTCAAAAATATATCTATGTTTTAGCAAGTTATTATATATATATTATAAAAACATTTCGTCGGTACATTTTAAAAGTTGATTGTATTCGACAGTTTCACTATATTTTGGTACCAACAAACTTGTTCATCACGCAATAAAAAAATGTGTGAAAACAATGAACGAAACCGTTATTGTTGAGTTCTACAAATGTTACATTAGTAAACGATTTGAAGCTTGTTAGAAAATTGAAACGACGATTTTTGATTTTTCAAAACGTAAACGTAGCTATTTAAAAATATATTGGTATGCATCAGATTTCACTACCAACATGATTTTTAATCACGTAAGTGGTGTACTTTTATAACTGTCCTACAACATTTTCATAAAATAAACATTCCATCCAGACAAGTTTCCGGTTTATCTAGTATAATATTTACGATATAATTGTTATGATGGAGTTCAATCTAATATCTATTCCAAGACATTTTTCGACATAATTACAAGTATAAAGAATTTTATTTTAGACAGATATTTGCACTAAATAATTTGTATGGAATAAATTATCGAAATAATTTTAGATTGAAAAACATAATTTTGTTAACTGTTTACCTATAATTTTAGTATTTTCGAAACTATAGATAATAGATGGATTATAACCAGAGCCGGTTAGGCCTGGGGAAAATTAATTCGGGGGCCCGTTAATTATCACAATAATATACGAGTATGATAAAAAAATATGCTCCAAGTTTGCAAAATGTTGGTAAATATAGTTTTCCAAATATCAACCAATCAAGGCCATTTAAATTAATCGACACAATGAATTAAATTCTTAATAATTTCTCAACAACCTATAACAGTTACGTCATTTAATTAATATTATATTTATTCATAGATGATAATTTATAAATAGCCATAGAAAATAAACAGTTGGATGTTGTCGTGTCGATACTCTTGCGATAACGAATAACGTAAATTGTCATTCTTCACACTTCGAAAATAATCACAATAAATTAAATTCATAACTATTTAGAAATTTGAATAACTGAAAATATAGCCCTTAAATATAAATTCAAGTTAATATAATTTCATTAAATT